TGAAAAATTCAACATGAGCCAGCAAGGTGCACTTGCAATCCAGAAGGCCAACTGTGTCCAGAACTGCATCAAAAGAAGCATGGCCAGCAGGTAGAGGGAGGTGATTCTCCCCCATCTGTTCTGCTCTTGTGAGACCCCAGATGGAGCACTACATTCTCTTCTGGAGTCCCCAGCACAAGAAGGACATGGATGTATTAGAATGAGTCCAGTGGAGGGCCATGAGGATGATCAGAGGGCTGGAGCACCTCTCCTGTGAAGACAGGCTGAGGGAGGTGGGATTGTTCAGCCTGGAGAAGAGAAGGCTCTGGGGAGACCTTATAGTGGCCTTCCAGTACCTAAATGGGGGAAAGCTGGGGAGGGACTCCCCAGTGATAGGACAAGGAGTAATGGCTTTAAACTAAGAGGGGGTTGGTTTAGATTAGGAAAAAGGAATAAATTCTTTACTTAGAGAGTGATGAGGCTCTGGAACAGGTGATGATCTTCAAGGTCCCTTGCAACCCAAACCATTCTTAGATTCTGTGATTCTGTATCTTGGCCTGACTAAGTTCAAGTATACAAAGTATATATTATATAATGTAGGCTGTTGATTTACAACTGAATTACAAGACTTCACAGCTTGTTGGCCTACCACTAATACTGGAATTTTAATTTACTAAACTATTTATGGTAAGCACTATAGATATTTCAAAAGTTAATACAGAATTTCAACCATACATGTTCTCATTAGGCAGTTTGTATATAACTCTTACGTGTGGGAAGAAATGGTAAACTGCAGAAAATGCAGTCACTTTTATACAAATGTGATGCCATAGAAATTTGGTTTAAATTAATTTTCTAAGGTATGTGTACTAGAAGGAATCTTCCCCCAAAGTATTAAGAATGAAAATTGCAGAGCTGGTTTAAAATTAGTCCAAATTCAGTGGTGTAATATTTCCCTTACATTTGATTGAAATCCAGGAGTAAAAAAAATATGTTTTTTTTTTCTTTCTCTCCTTGCCTTGTAATAGTAAGCAAGGCATATATATACGTTTGTGTCCTCTTTTAAATATTAAAGGAAGTGAAAGATTGCAATTCTTTTAAAACAAAGACCAGATGGTTGTTTTACATCACACTTTGTAATCACTTAAATATGCTATTATCAACAACAACAAATAATAATCCAGATATGAAGAATCCTCTGAATAAATGCAGTAAATATCTACTTTTTTTTTTTTTTTTTAAAAAAATCATCTTGTGATTTGTTGTTTTTTTTAAAAAAATCATCTTGTGATTTGTTGCTTACAAGAAACAAGAAAGATTTTATTTTTTTTCAAAAAATTAAGGGGCTAGTATATTGACAGCCCTGATTTTTGACTTAGGAATGTACAAATCATAATTTTTGTTTTAGAAAAAATATATAGTTTTATGTTCCCTTGGGTAAATACTAGATACCACTCATGGTAGTGCTGCAGAAAGTATCCATAGTGGTTATGACAAAGATCTCATAAAGGATGGAGATAAGAGGCACTGAGCACCTGTGTGCCTGAAAATTAGAGAAGCAGTTATAAAAAAGTGAGCATTTAATAACAGTAAAAAGAGCTTGTCTGGCTCATCTTAGTTACATTTAAAATGTATTGGTTTTATACTGATTGAAAACTTGCCACTTATTTGATGTTGCTGAGTAATTAAGACTGATAATGTTAGTCTGGGCCTATAGACTTAAAAATATACAGAAACACATTGTTAAATTTATGCTTGCAGTATTGAATCAGCATAACCTGGTTAGTCCTTGAAGTCTCTGAAAGTGTTGTAAATAGATTGCCGTTGTAGATGTTCACAGGAGTTGTTCAATATTGTAAGTAAACATAGATCTGCTTTGCTCTCTGTCATTGTTCAAGCTGTCTGTGGCCAAAACAAATTTCTTGAGTAGTTTTGGAAGTTATGAAGCAAGAAATGTGCCAGTAGAGTAAGTCTGATTAACAAATTAAAAAATTAAATAAAATGCTAAAATGACAATTAAACAGTGTGATGAAGAATTGTAAATACAAGTAGCCAGTATTACCATATGCTGTCTAGAAAAGCACAAATAGTCAATAAATCATGCAGCTGATTATTATACCCATTCATCTGTGGGTTGCTGAGGTACATAACAAAACATAATTCAGTCTCAGAAGTTTGTTATTGTTTAGACTACATTGTAAATTCAATTGATTATCCATGTGCAGCATGATTTATTTTTTCATCTAATATTTGTGCTGTTAATAGAATATTGCAGCCATAGATTATAGCAGACATTTTAGATCACATACTTTATGTTTTTCATCCATGAAAAAGTAATAATAAAAAATTGAAAAGGGTCATAGAAATCTTGTTCATGTCATTCTAAAGAGATTATTATAAAATCATTATTTTACTACAATTACCTCCTTGAATAAATTTCATCTGAAGCATTAGCAAAATTTGTGTAGACTGGATCTACAGTTACAAAAATAGCCATTTTACTGGCTGTTATTTTAAACCATCTAAAACAGGAATCGATATGACTTATTTTTTTTCTGATATTCTGTCTACTTCAGGCTTTCAAATTAAGGGTTCTTAAGTCAGTGATAACTAGATATCTAGAATTTACTTCAGTTCTTTAGACATAGCTGTCTAGTACTATTTTAATTGCATAATATCCATATTAAACTGTCAGGTGTGATGCAGGACCTGCAGGTTACCCATGCCCTTCTGGACAGGCAGCTAAATGGCATCTAACATTGGAAATTGTGCTGAATGCTCTTCAGCCAACTAAGTCAAGCCTCTGTGGTAGAGGCTGCCTTTATAGCTGGTGGAGATGTCATCAGTGCAGTTGCCTTAAGGTGGGCATCTTGGTCAATCTGATACCGTGTCTTAGTCAGCTAGCACTTCCACTTGTCAACATACGGGGTATACTGAAGAGAGTTTGCTATTTTGAATCCAGGATTGTCTCCACGGGGTATAGTAGGAGCCCAGCTGCATGTGGACTTGAACCTTTTGCTGAATCACTTTGGTATTTGTCATGTGTGCATGCTTATAGATAAATTCACCTTATGAGTGAGGCACATATGCATGTGTCATAATGACAAGAATGAGACAAATTGAATGCACTTTCCTACTCTTTACTAGATGCAGTCAACATTTTTTTTCTTACTTATGTACATGCTAGAAGAATGGAAAAGAGATAGGTAGCAAAATCCTTCCACCTTCCTGAGGATGGAAGACAGTTAATAGGCAACAGAGCAACAGAGGTAATGACACATTACCTAAGCATGTATCTCATTTTTATTGGAAGAAACAATGCATAGAAGGTATTAGCAGATTAGATAAACATGCCTGTGATTTTTTCTCTTCATAAAGATGGCAATTTCAAACCCTCTGGAGTCAGTCAGAGTTATTTCATTGACCTGAACAAGCTTTTTATTGGAAATAAGGCATTTATTCTTATGTATAGATGTATATTAAAGACACAATAGCCAGTCTTGGTTACTACATTAGAATTATACCTGGTGTACTGCTGTTCCTGAATATTCCTATCCATCAGACTTCAATTTGCTTCAGTAATTGCCTGATATCTTTTGACACTATTTGACTCTTCCTATTTTTAACATCACTGGTAGGACAGTATTGACTGTACTTCATGCTTTCCCTCAACTTTATTTCTATGGAGAGGTCCATTTAAAAAATTAAAAAAAAAAATAAAAATTAAATGAGTCAAGCTTCATTGAAGACCAGGCTACAGTCTTTCTAGTAACACTGGCCCATTTATACTATTGCATCTCATGAGTTACTCCCTTTGTCTACTTGTGCCTTCTATCCTATGTAGCTTCTGAAGGTTTTTTATTTTTTTAACAGAGAATTTTAATTTTAAGGCATTAGATTCCATATTGAATGAATTAAATAAACTTACCGAATCACAGAATTACCGAATTGCAGAATCATAGATTTATAGAATCATAGAATCATGGAATCATAGAATAGCCTGGGTTGAAAGGACCTAGTCATAGCTGTCTAGTGGATAAAATGAGTTAATGCTTGTAATACATGATGTTTCATTGTGTTTTTATTTTCAACTCTCAAGTAAGTTTCCTATTGATTTCTATATTGCTCCTTTGCCTAACCTGAAATGAAAACCTACCAGGCATATCTTGGAATTCCTCAATGTATACAGTCTTGTTCTGTTTTGCATTTTTTTTTTCCTTTCTTTTTACACCTGTAAATCACAGATCAAGTCAGGACTGAATTCTTTTCCAATATATTTTAACTGTTTGGATAAAAATTACTCAGTGTACATAAGTATAAGCTTAACAGGCTATGGAGATCTTGAGGCTTAGAACGGGTGTATCCAGCACAATGACTGGCAAGAGAAATTCTCCATGTTCCACCATTTTGACCACAGGAATTGACAGTCTAACTAGCATTATTTTTAAAAGCTTGTTCTCTTAGGTGTTTAGTACATTTCCTTCCTTTGGAAGACAAGAAGACAAACTCTTTGTCTTTTAAAGGTTAAGTTTTAATGGAATGGAAGAGTCATTTCAATTGTTTAATATTACTTTTGCCCATCCATTTAAGATAGCAAGAGGAAAGACTTGAGGTAGAATGACTAAGAGCATTTCACTTTTTATTGCAAGTTGCAGAATGAGTTGTGGGATGAGAGAGATCATGTATGTATATGTGTAGACAGGTACAGTAAAGCTTTGTTGTATTTTGTAGCTTAATAACTCAGCTTACAACTGATTTCCTTTTATATCTGTTTAGACTGTACTTAATAAATTCTTCCAAGAATACAGATAAATTATCACAGTGTTGTAACCTTATTTGTAAGGTATTTGCTTGCATACAAAATGTAGTTGTCAGAGTTTGTGAGTATTCCCTCTGCATAAGTTCTAAGTCACAATCTTTACAAAAATGCTGTCAGGATAAATGTAAGATATCCTTGTGTGATTGTTTCAAGTTTCTGCTCTAATTTTATTTATTTATTAATTTATTCGTTTTTATTACAGAAACCTTTGAAACGCTCATCAGACTAGCTGAGAATTACACAAGCACACTTTTCTGCAATGCATATAGGAACATGGCTGCTGAGGCTGCTACACGCATTCAGGAGTTTTTCACAGATGTTGGACTCTTCATATTTGGCACAGACATCAGCACAGAGGAATTTGTCAACAGATTTTTTGACAACCTGTTCCCAGTGGTCTACAACCACATTATTAACCCTGGTCAGACTGATATTTCACTGGAATACGCGGAGTGCCTCCGAATGGCTAGAAGAGATATCAGGCCCTTTGGTAACATTCCCAAGAAGGTCATAGGACAAATGGGAAGATCACTGTTACCCAGCCGGACTTTCCTGCAGGCTCTGAATTTGGGCATTGAAGTGATCAATACAACAGATCATCTGCATTTCTCTAAAGACTGCGGCAGAGCTTTACTGAGAATGCAGTACTGCCCCCATTGTCAAGGGCTGACTTTAAGTAAACCCTGTATGGGCTACTGCCTCAATGTCATCCGAGGCTGCTTAGCCTACATGGCAGAAGTTGATCTTCATTGGCAGGCGTACATTCAGTCCTTGGAGGAGCTCTCAAGCGCCATGCGTGGGACATACGACATTGAGCACGTGCTTCTAAACTTTCATTCAGTTGTTAATGATGCTCTCATACAAGCTCGTGTACACAGACCTGAATTATCTGAGCAGGTAAGAAGCTGTTGTTATCCATGCTTGGTGCAAACAGGACACTAGAGAAAGTAGCACTAATAGCTAATACTTGTTTGGCTGTTCTTATGCCAATGAACACATTTGTATCCAAATTCAGCTTTATTTAGCAATGTTTGTTTCCAGCACTGTAGTTTGATGTACCTTAATCATCCACATGAACTTCTAATTTCACATAATGAATTCACAAGTTTGGCATCAAGTTGAGATTCAGTGTTTTGGCAGCATTTAAAGTAAAGGATTTTCAAAATGAAAGAAATTCATAAATGGATATTTTAAAATCAGAATCATCTGATTTCAGTGAAGTAATCAGCGAAGTAATCAGTGAAGTAATGTTGAAACATATTTCCCCTTGAAACCACAGATATTTCAAAAATTTCCTGAGTGAAAATTTTGTTGCAAATTTGAATGGAAGCTTCAATTCCTTCACCATTTTTGTTTAGAAGTTGAAATTTTCAATAGATGTATCGAATAGTTTTAGGTTTAGCTTTACAGCTGTACCTCTTAAGTTATCTTAATTTTACAACTGCATCTCTTCATTTATCTTATCTCTCTTCCACACTGACCAAGTGTAAACAATGGACTGTGTCATAATATTTATCACACACAGAATCACAGAATTTCTAGGTTGGAAGAGACCTCAAGATCATCGAGTCCAACCTCTGACCTAACACTAACAGTCCCCACTAAACCATATCCCTAAGCTCTACATCTAAATGTCTTTTAAAGACTTCCAGGGATGGTGACTCCACCACTTCCCTGGGCAGCCTGTTCCAATGCCTAACAACACTTTTGGTAAAGACGTTCTTCCTAAGATCCAACCTAAAACTCCCCTGGCGCAACTTTAGCCCATTCCCCCTCGTCCTGTCACCAGGCACGTGGGAGAATAGACCAACCCCCACCTCACTACAGCCTCCTTTAAGGTATCTGCAGAGAGCAATAACGTCGCCCCTGAGCCTCCTGTTCTCCAGGCTGAACAAGCCCAGCTCCCTCAGCCGCTCCTCACAGGACTTGTTCTCCAGGCCCCTCGCCAGCTTTGTCGCCCTTCTCTGGACTCGCTCGAGCACCTTGATGTCCTTCTTGTAGCGAGGGGCCCAAAACTGAACACAGTACTCGAGGTGCGGCCTCACCAGAGCCGAGTACAGGGAGACGATCACCTCCCTAGCCCTGCTGGTCACACTGTTTCTGATACAAGCCAGGATGCTGTTGGCCTTCCTGGCCACCTGAGCACACTGCTGGCTCATATTCAGCCGACTATCCACCATCACTCCCAGGTCCTTCTCTGCCTGGCAGCTCTCCAACCACTCATCTCCCAGCCTGTAGCTCTGCTTGGTGTTATTGCGCCCCAGGTGCAGGACCCAGCACTTGGCCTTGTTGAACTTCATACAGTTGACCTCAGCCCATCGGTGCAGCCTATCCAGATCCTCCTGCAGAGCTTTCTTACCCTCGAGCAGATCGACACATGCGCATAGCTTGGTGTCATCTGCAAACTTACTGAGGGTGCACTCAATGCCCTCATCCAGATCATTGATGAAGATTAAAAGGGGGACAGTAAATTATCTTGTGAAAAAGTAACTCCACAAATATATATTATCCATATATTCAAATGTTCTTTAAAGACAAAATAATATCCCAAAGTTTGGAAAAATGACAGTATAAGTCTCAGCATTAATATTTGTTTTGGAACTGGTATCTTCTTACAGCTTTTCAGAGCACAAAAACCTGTTTTTCATGAGCTCTACATAAGAAAATTGTTTAATCATGTTATTGTTATATTCTCATAACAATAAATACAAGCAGTTCTTTCTTTAGATACCAATGGCCTGCCTCACAGAACCCATAATGTAGAGTATATTATTTTCATAATATGCGTTTCAGAGGAAGTGTAGCACAGTTCATCTGCAACATGAACTAAGTTCTTCCTTATATAAATTTAAGGGAAAAAGCAAGTTAAGTGGCAGCTATCTTATCTGTGAATGCCTGTGAAGAATTTAAATACAGTTTGGAGAAATACACAGTATTTAGCTACACATTAGAATGAAAGTATATCAGCAAATTCATTAAAGCTGTGTAAGTAGCAAAATTTAAATTCTTCCTATATTTAATCCATGATATGTTTTGTAAGTGTATTTTTCCGTGTATTTCTTCATGCAGATTTCACTGACAGTGGCATATTCTGTTCTTAAAGCTGGATTGGATATCTTGGTCTAAGTAGATGTCTTCCCTTTTGGAGGGTACACAGGTCCATTTATGGCTGTGCACCACTGTGGGGTGGAAGGTACCAGTAATACTTCTAGGAGTACTACAACTTTCCTCCTTACTTGACTAACTGAAGCTGAAGCAGCATTTTCTGCTAAGCAGCTGACAGTAAATTACTTGCTCTAGCATAATAAATAGAGGATTCATCATTTCTTAATGTGTTAAAACCCACAGTCTATTAAAACAGGTTTTTAATCCTGCTTGTATTCAATGAGTAATAGGTAAATTGACCATTTCTCAGAATTTCCCATTTGATCTACTTTACACAAGACAGCTACTTTAGCCAAAATCTCTAGCTGCTGAACTGTATTAAGAAAAGCTGTGATTTTTGAAGAGTTTTTTCACTAATATTTTGGCTTAATGGTGCCTCACTGATGTCTGTCCAATTCCTAATGTGTTCCTAAGCTACATTTACCTTTTAGGGATAGTCCCTGTTCCTCTTAAGATTTTATTTATTTATTTTTAAATCTTTTACCCTACAATTTTCAGGAATGAGCTAGGAAAAGTAAGTAAAGATTCAAGGAAGGGCCTCTTTCCTGCTTCATGCTGGGAAATTGGTATGAAAAAAGCTCCCCTCTCAAGATTTAGAGTTACATTTTGAAGGGTTTACCAGCATTGCCCTAGGCTTAAAGTCTCTTGGCACACTTGTGTTTTCAAAATTGAAGTTTTTATTCTCCAACATAATATCTTTCATGCAATTTGAATGAAAAACTAAATGGGTGAAGAGTCCTTCACCCAGTGTTTTGGCTTTATGAAAATTTCAGATTGGTCCAAACCAAAATGCTTTATTTTGATGTTTCTGAAAACTATGTCTTTCTTGTCCCTTTTCCTCAGAAGACATCAGAAATAAGAAAATTTCTTAAGCAGTGATATTCTGTGGCAATGTATTTGTTTGAAGATCAACTGTTTACTTCTGTTGCAGTAACATCTTTTCATATAGAATCACTTCCAAACCTAAAAAGCTAAAAAAATCATTTTTCTCTCAATCTGCATCAGATCCACGTGTTTAGACTATTCATAAACCTTGTGGCATCTTTCACTTAATCTCTTTGTTACAGTTGATCAGTTCTTTCCCTCTTTGATACGTAATTTGGTCAATAAGACTGTGATACATCGATCCCTTCAAACATGGTGATTTAGTTGGTCAGTATTGATCTGTTGATTATGGCTTGATTATAGTTCAGACTTGCCCATACATTAGGTATAAAAGCTGATTCTGACATGGAATAAAGACAATCTCTCAGTTTTTAGAAGAAGAGGATATGATTTCTGTTGAAATTGGCTCATTAATATTTATTTATTTATCTTCAGAGTGACTCATGAACTATTTCAAATTTAGATAAGCAATTAATGCATCAGTGATCCTAACAGACACAGAGAAGATGATTATGAGCCAGCAAATAATGGCTTGCTTAGGTATTCAGCAGCCTCTGCAGTTCTAAAGTTGAATTTCATCACAGTAAGTACTTTTTTTGAATGTTAAAGAAGCAGGTAGAAGAAAAAAAATCTTAAAATGTAGGGAAATATGGAATATGCATATGCAAATGTTAATGTAAGAATCAGCAGTGTATCCTATTCAGTGATATATGTATTTGTATAGCTCTGTATCTAATCATATGTATGTTTGTATAAATAAGTGTATGTAAAGGATTTCTTTCTAATGTGCTGTGTGTTTATCTGTATTTAAATCTAGTGTATATTCATACATTATGTTGTTCTGTTTGGTGTGGAAAGACCAATGCCTGCATAACACCACTTCCTTTTACAAAACTTTTTTTTTCCCCCAGTAATTTACAACTTGTTCACTTTTCTGCTTGGGCCATCAGAGCAGTGCCACACTGTCTACAGTTGCAATCTCTCTTTCCCTTTGTTCTTCCTATTTTGAATTCACACCTTTAATTCCTTCCTCCCACAGCTCCATTTACTGACAGATAAATGCAGCATCAGTTCATCGTCTTTATACCTGGACATTTTCCCATGCTATTCCACAGACTCTAGTGGAAATTTGTGGGTTGAGCAAATATTCACATATTTATATATGCTCACATATACGTATTGGCATATAATTAATGCCAGTTCTGTTCAGTGCTCCTGAAGCCTACGTAGGTCCATTTATGCACTGTTTATGCTCAGTGCAGCGCACTCTATGCTTTTTAGCTAGTAGGAGCTGAAACAGTAACATTTTTAGCAGCCTTCTGCATGTACACTCCTGCAAATGTAATGCCATAGAGTTTTAAGAGAGCAGCATTGTACAAAGTGAGAATAGTATAAGCTATTTGTTATTAAGATAATCTGAAAAAGATGATATTGTGCAGTTGCACTGGATAACAGGTAAAAATGCCTGTTTCTATACAGGACCTTGTAACTTCTTACTATGCTTTCTGTGCTAAGCAACATGCTGTTTTGTGTGAGCTCTGGCATAGTCAGGAAAATCCCCAGTGAGGGCAACCATACAGGCTAATGAATATGCAAGAACTTTGTAACATGTTTAAACATTGTTTAAGGGAAAAGAAAAAAAAAAGAAGAAAAAAAAAAGAAAAAAAAAAGGAAAGAAATTATGGAAACTTTTTACAAGTGGTCATAAATTGTTTCATGTTACTTCCATTTTACAGTTGTTATGCTAGACACTGCATCTGTGGATGCTAGACACTGCATCTCAGTCATGAGGCAGAAGGAAATAGAGAGATTGTAGTAAGATTTCTAGAGTTCTAGTGTAGATGAAC